CATTTTCCTGCCTGTTCCCCAAATCCTGAACTCTCTTGTCAATTAAGGATGTCTGACTCAGCCTTGAATATATTTATTGACCCAGCCTCTGCTGGTCTCTGGCTAAGAGAATTCCATACACTTATGACACTCAGAGAAAAAGAATTCCTCCTCATCTCCATTTTAAATGGCATTTTAAATTATTTAATTATTTTTGAAGTGTGGCCCCAATTTCTCAACTCCCCAACAAAGAGCAACACTCTCCCAGCATCCACCATGTCTAGTCCATCAAGATCCAATCTCTTTCAGTAAGATCACTCCTCATTCTATAAAATGTCAACTAGTAACAGGCCCAGCCCATTCAACCTTTCCTCTTAAGACAGTACCTTCATCCCAAGAGTCAGTCAAATAAACATTTCCTGGAGTGCTTCCAATGCAATCTGTCTCCTTAATGTAAGCAGACCAAACAATACACAGGAATCCAGATACAGTCTCACCAAAGACTGCTACAATTAGAGTAAAACATCCTTGCTTTGTTCTTCCATTCCCCTTGCAATCAACACTATCCCATTTACCTTCCTAACCACTTGCTGTACCTGCACACTTTTGATGATTCATGCATTATGACACCCAGATCCCTCTTTCAGAGGGATTCTGCAATCTCTCTACCTCTCTCTCGCTGTTTAAATAATATGCTGCTTTTCTATTTGTTCTGCCAAAATTGCCAAGTTCACATTTTCCCACATTATACTCCATCTGCCAAATTTTTGCTCACTAAATCTCTCTGTAACCCTTTGCAGACTCCTTTATGCCCTTTGTTTGCAACTTACTTTCCGACTCATCATTGTGTCATCACCAAATGTAGCAAACCGTATCTTAAGTCCTGTCATTAATATAGATTGTAAATAGGTGCAACTCCAATACTGACTCTCATTTCTACTTGTTGTAGATTGTGGCCCAAAAATGACTCATTTATCCCCACTCTCTACTCTTCCTGTCAGTCAACTGAAACATAAGAGCTGAATTGTACATTTTTTGGCTCAGTGTGAGTTGTGAGAGTTTGAGGGGCTTCACCATGAGGGGTGAGTGAGGTTCCTCACTGTGTCTTACCAAACTCGTATCATGAACCGCCTAATCGACACCATGGTGTCCTCTCCATCCAGTCCCAGCTTCCCACACCCTGCTCCCAGAACAACCTGCTGCTCTGTGAATATCCTGGAATTCCCTGGCATTCCTTGTGCTGATTCCATCTTTAAAAGCTGTGTGCACCCGTACAAGTTCTGTCTGTCTACAGCTGCCTCTGCACTGTTCCTGACTTTTGCCCCAGATGTGGTAGGCAGACAGATGAGGGGGGTATCAGTGCCCTGCTTTGTGGACAGGGACCTGGAGATGCTGCTGGATGGGATAGAGCAGAGGGAAGACCTCCTGTTTATTCCCCCAGGACCAGCAGAGAGGCTGCGACACCAGGCCATGTCCAGCCTGGTCCAAGGGAGCTACCCAGCTCAATGTATTTTTCCTCTCATGGAGGAATGCCCCGTGATGTGGGAAGATCATGAGCTTCTGCACTCTGCCAGGATCATTGTGACCATCTTCTCTCTGACACCTCATCCTCTCTCTGCTAGTGCACCCACCTCCCAACGAGACTCACGTTCTAGCCCTCTCACTACTGCCAGCAATATCTTCCCCACTCACTGTCCTTGACCCCTGACCCTGTCAGCACTAACTCTGCCTGCCCTCTGTGCTGCTAATCTCACTCCTGCACCAACTGGAATAACTCTGTTCTCCACTTCCACCTCCCTTAATGCCTGCCTCTCTCTCAATCCAAAAGGGAGACAGTCCCAAAAGGGCAGGAAGGTTCAAGGCAGGGGATGTGCTGCCCAACATTTAGCTCCTATGCCCTTTTATGCAGTGAGCATCTGACTCTGACCATCCTGCGTAGCTGACTGACCATTCTGAAGCCTCTGCTCTGGGACTGGAGGCTGCCCTTGAGTTACTGTGTTGAGATACCATAACTGAAGATTAACTCTGTTGGCTTGTCTGAGGTCTGCTGACAATTTTTTCCCTTTGTGTCTGCACTAAACAGCACGGCAAGACAGAAGTAGCATAAGCCTGATATAGCTCGCCTCGGGGTCAAAATGCAGCAAGGCAATGAGCATCCAGACAGGCTCAAAGTGAGTGGTGTGGCAGTGAGCAAAGAGCCTGGAGATACTGCCCAGTCCAGTCAATGAGCTGGAGCTTTGTCCCTGAGCTCAGTGTCCTTGCTGAAGTGTCCTGGATTGGGGACGCACCACGAGGGTTCTTAGAGGCTGGCAAATCTCGAATGTTGATGGCCACATGGGATCCATGTGGCTGGTGCCCATGGAGTGTACCCTGAGGTGTTGCTGCCCAGCTGAATTCACCAGGTATCTGCTCAGGTTTCCATGTCGAGTTTTCTCAATGTCAAACTGGTTCAGCAAGTTTGGTTAGATAGGAAGCTTAAAAGTTAATGAGATGAGTTGGCTGTCAACAAGGCCTCTAACAAGCTATAAACCCCCTTAATTGGTGTCTCACCACTACACCATGAGAAGCTTACCATGCTGCTTGTGAAGAGCATGATAAAACAAGATGCTCCTGACATCAAGCTAGACCTCACCAGAATTCTCACCCAATTGTGCCACAGATTCCACCCAAAGAAACACAGAAAACTGGAGCAGGTACAAACCATTCGGCCCATCCAGCCACTCTGGCAACGAACACAACTATGGTTGATCCTCTATACTCCCACTCTCACCCCAACACCATTGACACCTTTAGCCTGCAGAAATTGATCATTTTCTTTCTGTATACTAAATGACTTCCCCTCCACAGCCTCCTGTGATAAAGAATTCCACAGATTCACCACCAGAGTGAAGAAGTATCTGTTGCATAGCCTGAGACTGTGACCCCTTGTGCTAGACTCCTTTGATTCTGGGGAAATATTATCCCTCCATCCAATCTGGCCAGGCCTGTCAGAATTTTCTTCAAAAGCCACAGTCGACCCAACTTCTCCACATATTCCACTATTCAGTCTGGTAAACCTTCACTGCACTCCCTCTATGGCAAGGAAACTAAGTGTGGTCTTGCTAAGGCCTTGTAAGACATTACAGCTTTTGTTCAAACATGGACAAAAGAGCTGAATTCCAGAGCTGAAGTGAGAATGATAACCCTTGACATCAAACCCACATTTGAATGACAGTGACATCAAGGCAACCCAGCAAAACTGGAATCAGAGGGAAAATTCTCTGTTGGTTGGAGTTATACATGGCACATGGGAAGATAGCTGTAGTCATTGGAGGTTAATCATCTGAGCTCCAGGGCTTCTCTGCAACAGTTCCTCAGGGTGGTGTCCTAGGCCCAAACACCTGCTTCAACAATGACCTTCCCTCCATCATAAGGTCAGAGGTTCACTGTGTTACAACCAGGTGAGGAAGGGTAATTCTGCTCTCCTCTTTTAAAACCCCTGATTAAAAATCAGGCCAACCAGGGATATGTCTCCTAAGATGGGTTATGGAACCGAGATCTTTTCAAACTCTGGTCTCCTGCCTCAGGAGACAGCATTCCAAATTAAAAGCTTGGTTGAGCCCACCAGTTTTCAGGAAGCAAGAGAGAAGGCAAATGACTGATGAAGGAGATTCCTAATTTTGGAGTTCTGACAACTGAACAATGGGGGAATGGTTTGTACCTGCTCCAACTGAACAATGGAAAACTTGGATGGGAGGCCAGAATTGGCAGACAGGGTTGAGGGTGGGGCAGAGGCAGAAGAGTTCAAATATTCTAGGATCAGGAACACCCACTTGTGCATTGCTCTTTAAATTAAATTTGAGTTGCCACAACCAAGTGTTGTTTCATCCGTTGGAGATAACGTGAACGATGGACTTTAAATCCATCAGAAAGAAGGGACAACAAACCAGGGTGGTGGCTCTCATTGACAGCATTACTCATTCATGGGTATAACAAAGAAACACAGAAACATAGAAGGTAGGTGCAGGACCCAATCAAGCCTGCTCTGCCATTCAATGAGATCATGGCTAATCCCACCCTCTGCCCCTATCTCTTCATCCCTTTAGGCACAAGAGCTACATTTACCTCCTTCTTGAAAACACAATGTTTTGGCCTCAACCACTTTCTGTGGTAGTGAATTCCACAGGCTCACCACTCTCGAAGTGAAGAGATTTCTCCTCATCGCACACCTAGAAGATTTATCCTTGTTCCAGCCACTGGGAACATCCTTCCTGCATTTAACCTGTACAGTTTTGTTAGAATTTCACAAGTTTCTTTGAGACCCCCGGTAAAGAATTCCACAGATTCACTACTTTTTTTGTCAACTCTTTCCCACAGATGGTAGTGGAGAGGAAATGCCTTGGGCCTGGGGTGGTTTGTAGCTACAGGAACACTCAAGAAGCTTGACACTATCCAGGACAAAGCAGCCTGCTTGATTGGCACCACAACCACAACATCCACTCCCTCCACAATTGACATTGAGTAGCAGCAGTGTGTATTATCTGAAAGATCAACTGCAGAAATTCACCAAAGATCCTTAGATGCCTTCCAAACCTACAACCACTTCAATCTAGAAGGGCAGCAGATACATGGGAACAACACCTCCTGCAAGTTCCTTCCAAGCCATTTGCTATCCTGACTTGGAGATATATTGCCATTCCTTCACTGTTGCCGGGTCAAAATTCTGGAATTCACTGCCTAAGGGCAATGTGGTTCCTATCTACGCCACCTGAACTGCAGTGGTTCAAGAGGGCAGCTAACCACCACCTCACAAGGGCAATTGGGGACTGGTAATAAATGCTGGCTGGCTAGCTAGCAACACCCAAGTCCCATGTGTGAATAGAGAAGAAAAAAAAAAAATCGGTCCTAGCGGGTAGTCATGCCAAGCTGGAAAGTTTTGAGAAGTTAAACATTAAAAGCAATTTCAATGGCAACAATAAAATCATCAACTCAGAAAATTTATCTTTTGTATTTTCCTCATTTATTAAAAAATGGTACTTTAATAAATAGTTTAATAAAAATGTATACAAAATGTTTATTTGCTTTAGGTAAGAGATTTAATACTATACAGCCTACGAAACAATGAAAGATCTGGTCACCCACTATCAATAGTCCCATGTGTTCCGAGTAAGGCCTCTAAGCTGACTGAAAAGACTTGGCTTGCTGTACAAAGTAATAAAATGCATTCATCAATTATATATACACAACTGATGTAGCTTTATGGCTCAATATGCAGTGGAAGTATTAAGCAAAACACACAAATTCTACCTGAAGATTAACCAGTCTATATGTCTGTGACTGAACACTGACACATTGGAGTGCACCGACATAATTAGAGGTACCAGCACAAACTGCACCCAGGGTACAAGCACATAGTTAGTCCTGAAGGGGTGCATCACTGCAGAATCCAGCTTAGGAGAGACGCTAAATATAAGTTAAATCTTTTGTGACATCATTCCACCTGCTTGCAAATCCAAGTTAGAGTCTCCGTTATCTGTTAGATAGTTACTGCTAGTAACGCACTCTCACACACACTCAGATTCACATCATGTTATAAACAGTGTTGAGAACATGCTCAGAGTGTGCATTACAAGCACAAGGGACAAACCATGACATTCCTTTGGGTTTTCAATTAAAAACTGCAAGTAGCGGGAAAACAGCCTGGGGAGTTAATAGACAGGGAAATGGGACTGGATTGCTCTACAGAGAGTCACCATGAACTTGATAGGCCAAATGGCCTCCTTCAGAGCCCTAACTAGTCTATACCTTTCCTGAGGAAACGTTTTAGCGTTTACACTGAAAGGTGTGATCTTGCTTGTACTCTCTGGAAGGATGATGCAATAAGGAGCTGGATAATCTTGTTGAAAATGAAAACAAGAAATACTGATTACAGCCAAGTGCAGGGAGGTCGTACTAACTGGATTGATAAAAGGGCCAGCACGGGGCATTGTCAGATGAATGGCTTCTCTCTGTGCTGTATGATTTTATGACAAATGTTTTGTCGAATTCAACAGTTTGATGACCGGAATGAGAAAGTTAAATAGGTCAATGGAAACAACAAGCTAAACATACAGTGGTTCGGAGTGAAATGGGAGCTGGGTCATCAGACCTTCCTCGCAGTCTATCGCTGCCTCAAAAGCTGCAGGGCTCTGCCTTGTTCCTGAATTCAGACGTGACCATCTGCTACATCAAGTGGGAGCAAGGTCTTATCCCATCACTAACACCAACCAGACAGTGCTTTAACTGAGCATGTGCACTGACCCTGGGCCAAGGCTCTGTCGCAACGCTGCCACAGTCACACTCAAGGAACCCAACAACTGTCACAAGAACACAACCGAAGGTACAATCAGAACGTGCCTCCATAAGTGACCCGCCAGGATCTTATTTTGTCCTGAACAGACGTGAGTATTTTTGTAAACCAACTCTGATTTTTTAAAAAGTAATATGAAATGGAGGGCTTTAAAATATTAACTTTGTGCTTGCTGTCCTCCCCTCTATGTGGAACACACTATAGATAAGGTACACCAAAGAGCTAAGGTGGGAGCTTCTGTTTTGTTTGATCAACCACTTCTGTGAGAAATGGCAGCCATAGATTAGCAGTTGTACTCTTGTCCTTGAGGCAGAGGTTTATGGATCAAGCCTTAATCTTGAGGCTCGACTGTACATTATAGACTGAGGGGGTGCTGTTGCACTGTTGGAGGTGCCATCTCTCAGATGGAACATTAGCCCCAGGCCCTGTCTTCCCTCTTAGGTCAGTATAAAAGATCTCACAGCATGATTCAAAAAGCAGGAGTGATTTCCTGGCCTGCATCTTCCTCCCATTAATATCACCAAAGCAGATTAATCTGGTCATTCGGTGATTTGTGGGGAGCTTAGTGGTGGCAAATTGGTTGCTGCGTCTCCTAGACTGCAACAGTGACCACACATCAAAACATACTTTATCAACTGTGAAAAGGACTTCACGATATCCTGAGGTTCTGAGGGGACTATGGTCTTTATTTTGCAATGGAGAAGATTGTGTGTGTGTCGGATATTTGGAAATAACCAACTGCTTCTTTAACAACAGGTTTACAAAATTATCAGTCAGACTTACATCGGAAATCTCTTCCTCAGCTCACAATGTACTAGTATAACAATCAGGGAAATAGGCAGCTGAAACACAGGACACTCGATCTCTTCAACAAAAGAAATTGAATTTGTCAGATTTTTAAACAGTACTATTTAAGATAAGGTTGCTTGAGTCAAATATGAGAAAGTCTGTACTGATCAGTTCAGCGCAAAGCACCTGAGAAATTGCTAGAAGAACATGGGAAATAAGCATCACACAAAAAAACTAAATTGCCTCACTAACAGCCAAAAGTGAAGAGGTTCATTCTCAACTTTAGTACTGTTATGGTGCAGAAAAGGTCCATTTAGCCCATCATGCTGCGCTGGTTCTATTACCTAGTGCTAATCTCCTGCCTTTTCCACGTATCCCTGAGCAACACTGCCCTCTTGAAAACCTCAATTGAATCTGCCTCCACCACATTTCCAGGCAATGCATTCCATACCCTAACTACTCACTGAGTGGAAAAGCTTTTCTCATATTCACTTTAAATCTCAGTCCAAAACAAGTGCTCGTCCATCAACACTTGTGATATAATCATCAACGTTCCTCAGGATAGTGGGGGAGGGAGAGGGGGTGGGGTGACTGCAGAGATTTGAATGGGGGGGAAGTGATGTGATCACAGACAGTGGTCCCCTGACAGGCAGAGGTGCCGATTATGTCAGTGGGCGACTCCTACCTTTCCTGAGACCTTCTGACACATTTACCTTCGTTAGGGCTTCTCTCATCCATCATCTGTGGGGCTGTGGGCTGGGAGGTTCTGCACAGCCACGATCCCTTGACCAGTCAAGACCAAAGACACCAATTGCTCCTTTTTAAGAGCAGCCAATCACTTAAACTGGTAGGCACTTTGGTCACTCAATGGCAGGGGTGGGTGGTGGTTAGGTGGGGTAGCGGCACACTGCCAATATTAACAATCAGAAGATAAACACCCACCTCCCCATTGTGGGGGCATTAGCAATACACTTATCCCAGGTGAGGGTCAATCAACATTTGGCTGGTGTGAGAGAGTGATTGACAGCACAGAATGAATTGACATTTCTTAAATCACAGCTACTTTTCTCTTTGATCTATTGGAGTGAAGGATGTAGGGTCCTGGAAGTGTTAATAGAACCCTTTTTAACAAAATCTACACACCATTTTTAACAAAATATACATACCTTTTGCATTTTATGCTAGTTACATTAAACTGTCAACAAAAAAAATTAATAATACAAATAACTTTAGGCACTAAGTGATTTGGTTTAAACTTGCAGTGATTATTTAATCAAAATTATAATGTTTAATAATCCATTTTTACTTTGGAACACACTTACATGAAGAAACCAGTCTACCCCGTGTGAGTTTTATTTTTACAGATGGGATCTTTCTCAGCTTAAAATATTTAATGGTATTTGTAAAAATTGACTAACATTCGGATTTTGACTCCTTTTCGAGTAAGGTCAAAGTGCCTTCCTTCCCAAATTGTGCTTGAAAAAGTGCCAATATATGATAGCCTCATTAAGTTGACAAATACTGTGTGTTAGGTACTCTTTTGAGGTGGAAATGAAGAGAGAGGTCTCTGTGGCAATTTGAATAAAAGATCGAGAACCTTAAAGTCTGAAGTGAATTTCATAAAACTGTAGATAACAAGGTGCAGAGCTGGATGAACACAGCAGGCCAAGCAGCATCTTAGGAGCCTTCATAAAACTGTACACTGTTTTATTGCAAAGTGATAGTACCTGGTTGTTAAACTGAAATCACCTGATCCTGAATAAGTGCAAGACAATTTTGAAAAATAATACAATAACTCTGAAATTAAATACAATCAGTAGAACAAACTCGTCAAAAGAAATATATATCTTAAAATTAAGTTGTGTTTTTGCAACAATTCACATGGAGAGGATTTTTAGCCTTTATCAATGGCCAACTCTTGATAATCATACACTTAGTCCTTGCGGAATAGACTTCCTCTGTTCACACAAGCTCTGTGAACACATTTCAAGATGATTCAAGCACAACTTCATCAGTACTGTGCATACACCCAGCGCAATATTCAGCAAGAAACAGGTCCCACCAGTTTGTGAAAAATCTTGATTTGTTTGAAAGCCCTGCAAAAACCAAGGCTGACTACTATCCTTCAACAGTGGAAGAAAATACTCAGTACAACAGTACAAAACAAGGGGTGCACAATGGTGCCTACCTATACGATTGGAGTCCAAGGAATGAGCTTGGGCTACAATGACCAGAGGTCAATATTGCCAGACAACTGTGAGGAGTCAGCCAGTGCCTTAATAAAGAAAAGGTTTTGACACCTAATCTAGTCCTCTCTTTGCATAACATTTAACGGACAGTCATTGAGGAGTATAACCATCTGATAAGTCTGCAAGTCTTCACTATTAATAAATAACTCAACTGTACAACAGTTTCAAGAGTACCAGCCACCTTCTAGAAATTACAAGATGTTATGACCTCTTGCTATGTAACTGGTTTTGTACAATAATCTGTTTAGGCACTGTCCAAGTAACTGTTGTAACACTTGTTACTGTAACTTTCTGTATTTAAGGCACACAACATTGTGTACCAATCTCAATTTTAAACGGTGCTCCAGTTCCAGCCTATACTTCCCATCTTACAGTCTTTCCTCAGTCCCTAGGATACTGTTTACCGCTTCTTCCAAAGTGGAGGTTGTCACTTCAGCAAGCCCACTATCAGGGTCCGACTGGAGGAGATCCACTGAGGAAGCCGGAGGTGCGAAGGGATGGAGGTTGCGATCACCTTTCTGGACAGTGACAGTCCTAGGCTCCGAGCTCTGGAGCCTCTGCAGGTCCAGGAGGCTGTTGATGGCACTCTGCAGGTGAGCGCTCAGTGCTCTGTCCTGGGGGCTGTGGCCCAAGACATTGCCATTGTCCACTGAGTCACACTTGCGACGTTTGGGCTGTGGGAGGTGGAGGTCACCCACAGAGCCAGCTTTCAGCTGGTCACTGGTGTCAGCACCTGTCCTCCCTGACTCCTGCCTGTCCACTTGGAGATGAAGCATACTCTGGACATGGGGGTTATGTGAAGACAAGGCCAGAGCTGGACGGTCTCCTGGGCCAGGCTTGATGGTGGTGGTTTGTTGGTTCACGTTATGCTCTGGTGATCCGTGAAAGTGGGTGCTGACCGGCGGCAGCAGCAGCGGTGACGTTTTACTTTGGTCAGGCCCCAAACCGGGAGCGCTGTTGGAGGGAAGATTCCTCCGGGATTTCCCGAGGTCTGTAAGACAGCCCCTAGATTCCCGTGTCTCTCTGGGCCCAAGGTGCTGTTTCTCAGCTGGTGCAGGGAGTTTGCGGCCTACCTCGCCATTGGTTTGTCTTGGGGGATTAGCTCTGAGAGCAAAGGGGCCTGTAGGGGCTGGGCTTGCCTGGGTGCCGGGACGCCATAGCTGCTCCAACTCCGGGTTGTGGGCAACCTCCTGCCTTATCTTCAGCTTGAGGCCACCTCGGCTGCTGGCAACGTACGTCTTCAGCGGGGTCTGTGGTGAACACTGAACCTCCCGGTCGAGGGCTAGGTTTGGCCTAGAAGCGATGGGCAGAGTGGTGGCAATCCTTGGTTTGAAAACCGACATGATGTACGCATCTAAAAAACCAAACAAACCAAACAAACATTCCCCAACAGTCCATGGATGTTCAAAATAAATGCATTTAGAAACAACATAATATCGTACATTTATTCAGTGTCTTTAGCACATATAAAACATTCCAAGATATTTCAAATCAGACAACGTTTGACCTGAATATTAACACAGGAGCAAAAGTAGGCCTTTCAGCCCCTTCAGTCTCTTCTCCCATTCTATCTCATTGCTGATCATCTACCTCAATGCCTTCTTCCCACACAATTCCCAATATCCTTGGTATATGATATTAGAAATTCGTTTTAAGGAGAGTCTTAAAAAAGCAAGGCACAAATATTTAGGCAGGGAATTTCAGAGGCTAAGAACTCTACAACTAAAATCAAGGTAACCACTGGTGAAGTAACTGGGGGTGTGGGGCGAGAGAAATTGGGAAATTTCAGGAGGTTGTGGGGCAGTCAAAGAGAATGGGAGGGACAAAGTTATGGAAGGATTTGACAACTGAATCACAGAATTCAGAGTTCATTCAGCCCATCGTGTCTGCACGAGCTCCCTGAATGGACACTTTGTCTTCTGGTATTTCCCCCACCTTCTCCCTCACACATTCTGCCTTTTCAGATAGAAATCCAATTCCCTCTTGAAGGCCTTGATTGAACCCCACACTCTCAGGCAGTGCATTCCAGATCGCAGCTACTCCTTCTGTGAAAATGTTTCACCTTCTTTTAAATCTGTGACCACTTGTTCTCGATCCTTCCATCAATGCAAACAGTTTCTCCCCATCCATTCTATTCCTCATGGCAGACTGGTACAAAAGGTAAAGTCACATGGTATCAGGGATAAATTGGCAAGATGGATACAGAACTGGCTTAATCATAGGAGACAGAGGGTAACGGTGGAGGGATGCTTTTTGGAATGGACAGCTGTAACTAGTGGTGTTCCACAGTGACCAGTGCTGGGACCTCTGATGTTCATGATCTAAATAAATGATTTGGAGGAAAACACAGCCTTGTAATTAATAAGTTTGCGGATGATACAAATAAAATGGTGGAGTTATGGATAGTGAGAAGGATTGTCAGAGGTTACAGCAAGATATGGATCAGTTTGGAGGCATGGGCAGAAAATTGGCAGATGGAATTTAATCCGGAAAAAAGCAAGGTGATGCATTTTGGAAGGTCAAGTACAGGTGGAAATCATACAAGGAATGGCAGAACCCTTAGGGGTATGGGTATGCAGAGAGATCCGGGTGCGCAGGACCACAGATCACTAAAGGTGGCAGCACAGGTAGATAAAGTAGTAAAAAACGCTTATGGCATGTTTGCCTTCATTGGAAGGGGCATTGAGTATAAGGATA